CCGCTCCTTATAAACAAGAAATAAGTAAAATTATTTACCTTGATGGATAGCTCTTATAATAAAATATCTTATATTTTATTATTTAAGAACTCAAATTTTAGTAAGAGGGAATTGTTACTAAAATAATTTTTAATAACATGAAGATCAAATCTTTTATAGCATGTGAATTTAGTTCAAGTTGTCTACATGCTTAGTCCTAAATTGATTTACATCACATGTAATAAATAATTCAAAATTATGTAATGAAAAAGCATGTGACATAAAAATAAAATTCAACATTCTTCTAACATGTTTAATCTATATATCACATATATCACAAAAAAGTAATTCATGCCAGAATATCATTATTAATTAACATCTCATGAATCAATAACAATTAAAATAACAATAGAATCAGGTAACCGATTATAGATTCCCATTGTACCTAATACCAAATTTTAAATTCAAGTTATGAACTATCTCAATAGTTCAAACGATTTAATTATTGCACAAGACACATGTATTATGGTTTGAACTCTTCAAATATAATATAAAAATATTTCGTAAATAAATTTTAGACACAATAAACCACTGCTCTGATACCACTGTGGGATTGCATATAGGTGTTCGTAACACGCAGCGGAAGACAATAACAATCCTAGGCAGATCTTTTATGTTTAAAATTTATTTACATGTCAATAGATCAGATCTAAGACGTACCTGGTGAAGAGAATCTCGTTTCAAATTTCTTCGATAGTGCAAAGACTCTATGTGTATCCACACCGAGACTGATCCTTGCTATCAACTCTTTGATCAATGAAACCCGCGAACAAATTGAACAAAATATTGTGTTGAAATTTTTCACAAAAATCTCAACTCAATGTTAGAAGAACAAGAAACACTTTTCTTGCAATTGTATTTTCTCTCTTGGCTTTGTATTGCAATCATTGCAATCAAATGAAACTTGTTAAGCTGAAGAATTTGGTAGAGCAAAAGAAGGTTAATAGAGCCAAACCTCAGACTATCATCAAATCTATATAATTACTCAGAGCAATGTAAAAACATGTTCGCGAGAATCTGATCATCTTCGACACCAGTAGCAAGAAACTTTGAATGAGACAAATGATAGGATCAGTTTTGAATGACTTCGCGAGAATCTGATAGCAAACAGAGTCATTGGAAGTGAAGCGATTCCTGCATTCGGGCTGCCAAATCAGTATACATGACTTAGCTTTTGGGTGGCATCCTTTTGAAAAAACATGTTCCAGCTAGTTTTACATGTCGTCTTAGAGTCCTCCAGCAATAATCAGTTGCACAAAATGATTTCCTCTTCTAAAATAACTCTCTTTTGTGATTTAGAAGTACTTACTCCATGCCAAGATATTGCTGACAAATAAATTATTTATTCTAACAATAATCAAATAAAGTACGATATTGCTGACATGAGAGAGTCGATGGAATCTACAACTTCGAAATCGATATAACCATTTATCACTGTGGAACTAAGCTTGACAGCTCTCATGATGACATGGAGAAAATAGGTTAATAAACAAGAAGATAGAGTCTTAAAAAATAACAGGCAAGTGAGGTACAAAAAAATAACAAGAAAAGAGGTCTTTTGCTACTATCATCATTAGCCGCCTGTCTTTCTAATAAAGGATTACATGAATGTCTAAAACTGACTTGCGCCTTTTGCTATATAATTTAGGCAAATTACATTGCATTTATGAAACAAGCAATCTAACTGAGAATATATTGGAAATGGTATTGCTGCAAACAACTGACAATGGAAGTTTACTTATTTCCTAGATAATTTGGATATGGTTGTCCGCGATTGTTTATATGTATATATGTGTGTGTGTATATTTGAAATATTACATCTATATGGTGCCTTAGAACAGAGCTAGCGTGTAATGACAAGCAGAACATAACTCATGTCCATGGTAGCAAATTGAAAAAATTGGACATCATTTATCTTTGTAGACGGTTCCAGACGTTGTGTCTCTTAACCTTTTTCTATTAAAAGATTTGTTCTACATCAGCATTATGTTATGCTATCAACTTCTAGAGCAAATTATAAATTCCAACCTATACTAGGTTTCTTTTACAACGACTTGAAGCAAGTATAAAGATTAATTTAGTTGCAACTTATCACCTATATGTCATCTAACAATCACCTCGATCTGAAGAGGCTTCGCCTCACCGTGAAAAATGCCTATATGAGCAATTTTTGGCTAGTGTGGAGAAAGGCAACTCCCAAGAGGTGAGGCTCTTGAAAACTTGGCTACTTAAAATTTGAATGAGACGGATCAATGATTGGATCTACTGGCGCAATTATATGATCTGCAGCCTAGAATGAAAGACCAGCCTTGATCTTTTGAATGGTAGTAACATCAGTCTTGAATGACTTTGCGAGAATCTGATCATCGATTCCAGTAGCAAACAGAGTTGTTGGAAGTGAAACGGTTCCTTCATTCGAGCTACCAAATGCAGAAACAGCTGTAGCCAATTTATTCCAATCAGTATGGTACTGATACTGCACTAGTCCTTTAGGAAACACAAATTGGTAGAGTCCAAGTATAGAGCTTGTTACTACTATCTAACAATCCAACTTCTAGACTGCCCTGCAGTACTAAATAATACCTCGGATGCACGAGGGTGAGTGTGGGCCGGGTTGACACCCGCGCCAGGGAATTGAAGGAGAGCAGTGTGCATCATGAGAAATTTCTGCTGCACAGGGCTGACATTGGAAGCTTATATCTCGCAACATATAAGGAATTTGGATATGATCAAAACATGAAAGTTGTAGTCCTTTATGTCTAGTTAACAATTTATCATTTAGACATTTCTATAGAAAGTTATGATCGATTTACTGAAGGCTGGTACTACAGTTTTTTGCAGAGAAGTCGCATTTCACACATGCGACTTGGCTTGACAGAATGTTTATGTCTGGAGTCCGACTTTTTTGGTTCAATTTTAGAGCTTTAGACCTTGGTTTTGGGAGATTTCATAGGGATTTTTCACGAGTTTGATTGGGTTGGAGACTAATTCGAAAGGAAAAGTTGTAGTCGAGTGGTCACTTGAATTGCGAAGCAAGGTGAACCTTGACTAGAGGGAATAGAACCCTTGAACTATGTGTTATGTGAATTTCATGTATAACGACGTATATGCGAGGTGTCGGGTGTCTATACATCGTCAAATTGCTTGTTTCCTTGTTTATCTGTATTTCATAAATTGTTTTATTTCATGACTTAATATTATGAATTCAAGACATAATATTAAGCAATGAAGGTAAGAGAATATATTCTCCCTGATTCCACATTTATTTGCTATTTATTCCTAAAGAAATCATAATTATTGTATGCTTTGTTGCCTTATAGTTTCGTATTAATTGTTGATTGATTGATGTAATTTCATCTGTATATTGATAATTGATATTGTTTGGGTGGGGGGTTGCACGCCGCAACAAAAATGAAAATAATTATATTATGGAATCGGTCTTCACGCAGCAACAGAGTTGATTAAAAATTTATGGGGAATCGGGTTGCACGCCGCAAGAAAACTGGATGAAAGATTATATTGTTGGAACGGGTTGGACGGTGCAATAGAATGATAAAAGTAGTAATTGATTATGACTGTCAAGTTGGCTTCGAATGTTGATATGACTTACCTGTTTTTTCTATTCATGTCTTCCTATTATTGCTATTGTTATTACTATTGCGTACAAGTTAATGTAATCCGCTTGCCTTAGCCTCGTCACTACTTCGTCGAGGTTAGGCTCAGGACTTACTGAGTACATGGGGTTGGTTATACTCATACTACCACCTGCACTTCTTGTGCAGATACCGGAGTTGGTTCCAGCGGCGTACAATAGACTTTCTTTGGATTCAGCTATTCAGAGGTGACTTGAGATATATGTTTAACCAAAAAAAAATAGAATTTTAGTCAAAGCTAGAATTTAGAAGAACGCGGGTTACTGATAATCATAAGAATATGTAGAAGAAAGTAATTTGGGGTAACAAGAGTGTAATCACGAGAAAAACAAGTGAATCAAAGTATATTCTAATCGTATCTTGTGTTTACAAGTGACCAGATACCTCCCTTTTATAGGTATCTTGAAGATATGCGTTTTCCCCAAGTCATAATGAGGCTATTATGAATAATTAAAGACAATGAATGCTACGTTACACAATCATTGTAATCAATACAAATTCTCTAATGTATCCAGTATTTAATGCCTGTTGAATTCCGTATATGCGCTCTTTATTATGGTTAGATCCATTCCTTTTGATAAATGACTTAAATAGGTATGAGCGTTGAATCCTTCGAATGTCCTCCTGTGCCTCTTCCTTTGCCTTTGCTCATTTCTATTGCTGTTCGTGCCTCTTGACTAATTATAATTCTTTGACAATTTGACCAGTCCACGTGTCTTAACATGTCACTTACATATATAAATGCAATTTTTCCCAATACAGATAGTCCCCCCACTTTCCATTTATTCATCAATTGAATATTTGGGAAAGTGGATTTCATTAAAATGAGAATTTTTGTCACCATTAATATTATGACAAAATTGACGCTTCAATTGTTACTTCCATTTAATATTCCATACACGTATCGATTTTCCATTGGCTCTGCAGTTTTTGCAGCCTTTTTCAAGGTTTTTACGGTTCCACTATTAATGAAGTGCCAGTTATCATAATTATGGTTTTTTCATCTCCGCACTTTTACCTTTGGCGGTTGCTTATCGGTATAAATATAACTTTTTCCCTTGTCTTTTATCAGATAAAGCTTATTGAACACTTATTTCTCCAAATCTCTGTTTACTTCTTCCTTAAATCATTCTTCTTTGATATGTCTTCTCCAATCCCTAACCCTGAGAGAGTTTCCATTACTGACTCCTTCCCCAATGCCCCTGTTAGGCACAGAAGGGGAGGTAGACTTTGTAGGTTAGGATCTACTCTAGGTGGTTCGTCTATGCCTTCTTCTGGTTCTGGTCCTTCCTCTAGAACCAGAGGTTCCCTTTCTCACAAATCGTCTTCTAGGGGTAAAGATCATTCTGAACCTTTACGCGAACCTTTAGTATATGAGATAGTCCCTTCAGAATTGTCTTTTTACCATGATAGGGAATCTCTTAGAAACCAGGTTTCCCCATTAGATCGTGTCGATGCTTACCCCACGCAAATTACAAAGATTTTGACTCCTATGGTTCGTAAGGACTGTCATTGGAGTAATGATTTTCCCATTATTATCCCTAATCCGAATCAGAAAATTACTTCCTATTTAACTGGGTTCTCTTTTGTTTACACTTACCCTTTTACTTTAGGGTTTAGACCAGCAATCGACCCAGTCATTCTTGAATTTTGCCATTTCTTCAATGTTTGCTTGGGTCGAATTGGCCCAATCATATGGAGGGTTGTTGCCTGTTTAAGGCATTTAGCCACTAAAGCTGAAGCTCTTTTTACTTTCCCTCACTTGATTCATCTTTACTCACCTAGGCTTTTTCGCAATGGTGTTTTTACACTAGTAGCCGGGAGTAAGAGGGTTTTGGTGAGCCCCGAAGATGACAAGGATCGTGGCTGGTATGCCTGATTTGTTGCTGCCCCCACTGTTGGTTTAGTGGGTGAAGATTATGTTCCCTTCCCTGGGAAGTGGAATTTTGCACGTAGGTCTTTTATCCCTCTCGTACCTTCTTCTTTCAAGTTTATCAGCTTTTCTAATTTTAACCCCCCCCCCTCTTTTTTAGCAACCATGGAAGTTGTGGGGGATGTTCCCAATTTCCGTGGTTGGGTAGATAAATTGCTGAAGATCGCACCAATGGATGGTAGATCTTGGAAAACACTTTCTAACTGCTTTGGTTGGAAGGTAAAGACTCATCGTAAGAGTTCACATTTTGTTCTTTTCGTGCCTATATTCTCCTTTATTGTTTTAACTTTTATCCTTCTTTTTGTCAGGATTTGCTATTCGAGGGGTTACTGCTGAAGCAGTTGCAGCCTCTCGTGTCTCTTTGGGAACTCGTACTCCTTCGAGAACTCGTATCTCTTTAGAAAGAGCTCGAGAAATAGTATTGGGTTCCTCTTCTGCGAAAAGGAAGGCTGCTGAAGAGGAAAATTCTGAAGAAGAGGAAAATGAGATTTCTCTAGTAACGAGGCCACGAGTTAGGAGACGCATCATTTCCAATGAAGAAACTAAAGTTTCGGTTTCTCTTACCGAACCTATTGAAACCCCAATAATAATTCCTGACGATGACATCACTCCCTATGATACTCGTGAGTCTATTGACCAACTTTTCGTTAGTGGATTTGGTCGTGAAGATGTTGGGCCTATTTTAGACGAAGTACCTTTATCGTCTTTTTAATTACCCGTGCATGTAATTCCTTCTTTACCGGCCCCAGCTATTTCTGTTCCTTCTCCTACTGCTCTTACCTCTTCTCCGGCTCCTCCTTTGACTATTCCCCCTCCTATCGTTCATCATACTGAAATGGGCTCTTCAAGTAGAAGTGTCGTTATGAGGTGGGTAATTATTGAAGTTCCTGCTGATAGCAGCCTTAGAGCAGCGAGTACGGGCTTTAACTTCAGAATTGGCGGTTACAAAAGCCTCTTCACACCAAGCAGAAAAAGAAAAAGAGCGTCTTGAGTCCTCCTTCTCAGAGCAGCTATCTAAAGCTAGTGAAGAGATCAGAGAATTAAAGGCTCTTTTAAACCAAAAGGAAGTTTACGCTGGGGAGCTTGTGCAAAATTTGACTCAAGCACAAGAAGACCTCAGAATCTCTGCTGATAAGGTGCGTGATTTAGAATGCTCCCACGCCTCTATTCAAGCTTCCTACAGCTCCGCCTTGGCTGAAAATGAAGAGCTAAAAAATGAGATCGCTACTTGGGAAAAGCATTATGAGATCCTTGAAGAAAAATCTGTTGTTGAGGCAAGTTGGGCATTTTTGAATTCCCGTCGTGATACCCTACTTGAAGCTGGCCAAGAAAACTTCAACCTGGAGTTGGAGTTAGCTAAAATCAATGAAACCATCGAAAAGGCTCAACAAACTCAGGACTTCCCTTCTCCCGTGGATGAAGTTCCCGTGGCTAAAGCTCTCATGAATGTTGAAGCTGATACGGGTATCCCGACTATTTCAAACCCAATCGAGCCTGTTGATGCAAGCCAAGTTGAAACTGCGCCTGCCCAAATTCAGCCCGTTGCTATTGACGTTCCTGCCTCAATACCACAAACTTCTCAGTGACCGGTTTTAATCATTCAAATGATTTTGTTTTTGTTTTGATTTTGGAAAATTGTAATCAACCCCTTAGCTTCATTTGAGGGTTGATTTCGGAAACGCCAGTCCCCAAGTCTTTTTATGGGGCAATATAAACAATTTCGTAGTATTATGACTAAGTTCGAACTTAGTCTTAGATTTTTTTTTTACATATTAAGAAGTTTTTCATGTTATTATCTTAAACTTCTGTTTGCTTTATTCTCGCCTTTATTTTTAAGGACTTATAGAATAATTTGCATTTTTGTTTTCCGAAAATGCGTCTGATAACCTCATGATTAATTTAAACATGAGTTTTATAAAAGAGGGCCCTTTTATATTCCGACACTTAATGAAGAAGACGTCTCAACTTCATAATGGTGTTATCATACGATAAAAGAAATAGGAATACACATGTTTCTCTGAAATAACTTTGACAAGTTTTTATTTTTGAACCTTGTCTAGTTCCGAATAAAACTTTACATGTATTTGAATTACATCTATAACTTTCTCGTAACTATTTTTCTTGTAACAGATTTAAAAGAAGAATAATAGGTACGGATTTTTTCCTTATAACCCGTTTTAGTACATCGCCTTTACCCTAACTATAGTGAGGTTTTTCTTTGGCCTTAGCTCGTGGCTTTATGACTTTTACTCTGCACTTGACTCTTTCAGGCTTGATTTTTCCTTAATCTTCTTTGCCTTCTTTATACACATGTCCGTGAATATTATGTAGTCCCCCAAGTATTTGAGTGTTGAAGCATGAAGCCTCGAGCACTTGATAGTTTCTCTCATTTGGTCCTTTTCCTGAAAAGGAAAAACATACGGGACTCGGAGGGACGATTATAGATGAAGACTGCATAACCCGTTTGCATTTCTATCAGAATAATTATATTCTTAGGCCAGGAATTTTAGGTTACTCCATGTGCCTTACAGGTCGTGACTCATCATTTAGTACGGGTTAGCATTTTGCCTATCATCTAAAATCGTTAGAAAAATTTTAACAATTCAAAAATGAAATTTAAAATGGTTATACCTGACCCGTGGGTTTTCTTTAGAAATAGTATCTCTTTAAATGAACAGCATTCCAATACGAAGGTAGTACCTTGCCATCCATTGTTTCCAGTTCATATGCTCCATTTTCTACAATATTACGCACTCTGTAGGGTCCTTCCCATGTTGGACTTAATTTTGCTATGTTAGCTACCTTTGTAGACGGAAAAACCTTTTTAAGCACGAAGTCCCCAATTTTGAAGAACCTGAGGCGTGCTTTTATATTGTAGTATCGTTCTATGCCTTGCTTTTGTACTGCCATTCTTATTAAAGCAGCTTCTCTCCGCCCCTCGAGTAAATTTAGGTTGACCCGCATCTCCTCTCATTAGATTCTTGTGTCGCTTGTGTGAACCATGTACTTGGTTCCCCTATCTCAACTGGAAATAAAGACTC